TGAAATACGCGCAAATATTAATATTAACAAATTATAACTTTATAAAGCTTAAAGTATGAATTAAAATGATTAGAAATATTAGGAACGGTACACAATATAAAACTTAGTAACTTTTTTTAAGTTTATAATATTCGACATATTTTAAGATTATATTAAAAAATTATTGAAATATCGAAAACACATAAAAACGTGGCTTAAAAAAGTTCTAACAAATGAAAATGACAATAAAACATCCACGCATTTTATCGAAAGTTATAAAAGTTTTGTTACTTGTAATATGTTTTATCTGCCCCCTGGAATTAATGTTTAGAACCTTGTTTCCAAGGTTTGAAAAACATCCGATTGTTGTCTATTACCCGTATTTACCTGCTGGATTTTTTAATCCGGTGGACAGTCCATCTAGAAAGGCCCTCCTGGATGAAGTTACAGAATCATCAACCCATACTTTACTTGTAGTGTGTCCTGCGTTTACCCACGTTTCATCAAGGTAATAAATCTTCCTGTTTTGATTTCTATATTTCCCAATTTTTGTTAAATAATCCCTCCTCCATAGCACAATTTCTTCTCTATCCAGTAGTAAACTATTACGACCCCGTTTTTTCCATTTGAAATTTAAATGCTTCAGTAACGCATGGAAAGTTGATCGTTTGAAATTTGGCAACGTTGTATCTCCATTTACCTCCTGCAGTACTTTATCTATAGTAGGTATTTCATTCCTAAAGAAGAATTCATGCACTTTCCTCCTAATCGCATGCTTATCAGCTTCATCCAATGATTTAACAATACTTTTGCGATGTTAACTGGTCATTGGCTCAGAAAAGGTGGGATTTTTTTTGTATTGCCTTAACACATTAAACACTGATGCGCGACACACCCCAACTTTGTGAGAAACCTTCACAACAATTTCTTTGATGGTTGATGCCTCGTTCTCCTCGCGCTCGATCTTATATATATTCAAAATGACCTCTTTCATTTCTGCACTTAGGTGTCTTTTTTTAGAGCGTTTCCTAGGTGGACTACAGGAGTTTACAACTTCATCGGCAGTATCTGTACTACTGGGCATTTTGCGCAAGCAGTTGATAACAATAACAATCAATAACAAGGTATAACAATAACAACGACAAACTCAACAACTTAATAAGATAACAAACGAAAACGTCCAAAGAAATATCAAATTGCAATGATGCACACGACATACGTAACACGTCTGAACCTGAATGTGACTCTGCCTTGATACGACTGCTCTGCCGCTCGGCATAGGCATTTAATTGCGAATTGACCAATGAGGGCTCCTGTTTTACGTCGAGACGGCGGCGTTAGCGTGAAAATCACCCGAACCTTTTGTTTACATCCGGTCTATCTCTTATCTGAATATACTGTAGGCAAGCTAAAACGAGTCCAGCGGTGCAGTCGTTTTATGCTGAATATGTTAGGTTACTGCTCCTGCTATTTAACACAAAAGCTCTTAACCGCTGGACCGCTTCTCGTTAACTGAACCCAACGACTACAACATTGCCTTTAGGAATAACTAAACGTACGTCAATGTCCACAATATATGACCGAACTTCAACGTATCAGTTACATTTGCTTAGAAAAAAGGCGCTACGTGACGACCAAACATCTTTATCTCTACTGTAATTACAGTTCTTACCAGAAACGATGATGTGTCACACTGTGACATTGTAGCCACTCTGTAATGGTAGATGCTACGGTCATCTAAACGAAAGAGAACATAGTCTAGATGATAAAAGAAAAGGATAAGATGAATAACCTGTAAAAGCAAAATACACAAAGTAGGAGTTGCAAAACTCCGCAACTTTGCAACTATGCGACATAAATTCGTCAACACGACCAAAAAATTCAACATAATCATTATACAAGGTACAAAATTTGTGGCACAGTAGTTCCTTAGCCATGTACATCTATAATGCAGAGATCATGTCTATCTCTATTTAGTTCCAAAATTATATGAGATTCAAAAAATGTACGTTTCAGAAATGCAAGAGAAATTTCAAAAAGTAACTACATTCCATATCTAGGACTGACATTCATAAACTTATTCATAGATATCAAGTAAATGCATCAACCAATGTGATTAATTTTTGCCTTTTTAAAAATTTGCATTCTACAGTTACAGCTTGAAATTTTATTAGTCCATGAGGCAATGCCTCCAATTGGGCCTGTGTTTATTTGATATTTATTTGCTCATGTTGTTTTCTTTGTACATTGGACATTATTTTAATAGTATACAGCAAACAGTGCAAAGGAAGTGTAAGGGGCTTATAGTAGAAATCAACAAATCATGGAAAACTACGTGAAATACGTTATCTATAAGAACATTCGTTTTTGAGAAGCATCTATTATATGTTATTTCCAAGCAACAGTTACCAGAAATGAATCATACCATTATTTTTGACATCGACGAAAACTACATACCATTATGCGCGTCAGTACATATCACGCCAAGAACATATTATTTAGTGTTTTATGTGGTTTGTGTGAAATCACACATCGTAACTGTAACAGTAATTTTGGTCTAGATGCATTACATACTCACACCACATATGAAAATAAATACAGGTTGGCAGCAGAAGTTGGCCTACAGCACTAGTTGTAACTGAAATTTTACGGTATATCCATACTTTATCGTGAAGCAGCAATTTTGATCGTAATCGTCGGTAGCTTTCAATATTTTTGTTGCAGTCAGCAAGAAATGTTCTTCACTAAAATGTAAATCGCAAGTAACGAACATTTAAATGTTCTCTTCATGTTTTGTATGAACGGCCTTTTTGACAAAATCAGTAACAACTTTGAAAGTTAAAAACCTACCTAACCTTATTTACACTTGTTTGGTGTCCATAAGAGATGCTCTTTTTGCGTTAGTTATTATGGATTTTCCAGTATTGTAATTATCCTACCTGCATGTGTGTGTGGTTGCTTTGGAATCTCGTATTTTTCAGACAGAATTGTTCTTACATCCTCAAGTATACTAAGTGACATATAAATCCGAACACCCAGTTTAAATGGTCTTATTTTAATAAAATTTTGTATAAGTACTTAATGAAGCATAATAAATAAATGATAAAAATTTCAAAATGATTGCACTGCTTTAAAGACCTTTGACTTTTAATAATGTGTGGATACACCCTGATGTGCTACGCATTCTCCAACGCGTCTAGGCATGCTTCTGATCAGGTAGTCAATGTCCTCCTGTGGTATCTCATTCCAGGCAACCACCAACTCCTCTCGAAGTGCTTCTAGAGTCTGAGGAGGACGTTGCAAATTGAGCAATCTCCTACCCATCATATCCCACACGTGCTCAATTGGGGATAAGTCGGGAGATCTTGGTGGCCATGGTAACAATGTGACATCATTATGTTGAAAGAAGTCTATTGTGACTCTTGCAACATGTGATCGGGCATTATCTTGTTGGAAAGTTGGATCTGCCAGGGTGTCAAGATAGGGTAAAAGATGGGGTTCTAGAACTTCGTGGATATAACGCTGCGCGTTCATGTTACTTCTGATGAAGATTAAAGGTGACCTGGAACCATAAGCTATAGCACCCCAAACCATAACTCCAACAGTGTGATGAACATGTCTTTCAAAAAAAAACTGTGGATTCCTCCTTTCACCACGTCGCCTTCTAACCCCGGCACGACCATCGTGCATGCCTAAACAAAATCGAGACTCGTCACTAAAGACAATACTGCTCCATTCCTGATCCCAGAGTGACCGTTGTCTGCACCACTCAAGACGATTACGTCGGTGTTCTCGAGTTAAAGGGAGGACCCAGTGTGGCCGGTATGAAAACAAGCCAAAACTTCTCATTCGTCGGTAAACACTTCGCATGCCAATAGGTCTTCCGTGTTCTGCAAACCATTCATTTGCAATGGACCTGGTAGTGGAGAAACGGTCCCTTAAGGCCAATAATCTTAGGCGGCGATCTTCACGGTCTGTTGTTCTACGGCGGCGTCCAGTGCCCCTTGCTCTTTGCGTACGGCCTTCTCGAAGCCATGCCTGACAACACCTAACCACAGTGTCTACACTTCTTTGCACTCTAACTGCAATTGCCCGAAAAGAAAGTCCAGCTTCCCGAAGTCCCACTATACGGCCCCTATCAAACTCACTAAGTTGACGAAATCGTACAAGTCTCCGTACTCTAGGCATCGTAACCGATCGTAAAGGATGTCAAGAACAAAAATCCGCCAACGTTGATTCTTTACTGCGGCTGAAATATTCATTTTTAGAGCGTTAGTGAATTAAAAAAAAAGCAGTATAAAAACCGGAATGTCCAACTGATAAGGCTGAAAATTTTCTCACTTGTTATTTACAGTAAGATAAATACATTCACCAACTTTTATTAAAATAAAACCATTTAAACTGGGTGTTCGGATTTATATGTCACTTAGTATAATTTTGGGTATTTTTAGGACTTCAGTCACCCTCCTTTACCCCCTACAACTTTCAACCTTAAATTTTAAATCCTTACAAAAAAATTTCTGAAAATAATCAGGAGCCTCCGAAATTCTAAAGACCGATGTTTAAGTGATTTTTATTTTTTTCGTTTATTGCCTTTAGGCTCCACTGGATCAATTTTCAAAAATCACGAAGCTTTTCGTCCTTATCGGAGTAGCAACCTTGCGTGTAAATTTCATCAAAATTTGAGCAGTACTCATAGACCTGCCTAGAATTAGCGGACGGACTGACAGACAGACTGACGGAAATGATTAACATGGTTTTTTGTACATGTCATAAACAGCATCCAAAAATAAAAATATCAAACTTGCATCAGCATAACACATTATTCGCTCTACGATATTTTAAATTCGCGAGCCACCGCGGGTTAGCCATAACATATTTTTCACCTGGCTTTTCGCCATCGTCTAACTGCAACCTTAGTTGTAACGGTACGCGGTTCGCGACCGCAAGATTCAAGTCCTCCATGACGCCAGAGCGTTGTTCGTTTGTTTTCCGCTGTCGATTGTCATGCATTGTCGTTATTAAGTGCCTGCTGGAGTACTGCCGGTACCGTCGTCATCACGCTCCACATTCGATACTATCTCTGTTAATAAATATCGAAGATATATTACGTCTAGATATACTGCCTAATGTGGTGAGTGCGACCTTATTCTGGGGTTTTTTAGATCGCACTTACTAGACGGGAAGCACTGCGAAGTTCAGACAGCACCGGTACGGCTTGCAGAGTATTCCAGAATATCGGCACATGCAGTCAATAACATATTCTATCTGGAGATTTGTAACGTACCAAAATCATATAATTTTAAATTACTATTTTCACTTACCAGTAATTTGAATTTCTCTTTATACAGGGTGACCCAGAAGTCTACGTCAAGCCGAAACTGGGTGATAGGCAAAGTCATAACAGCTATCAGAAAAATATTACGGACCTATTATTTTACCATTTAAAATTCCTGTCCAATGGTTTATCTTGAAGCGATATTGAGATTTATCTTCTCTCATCAAATGTGGGTTTGCTACGTGCCACTCATGTAAGTTATGCAGGTTCATGTACCCATCTTTCTTAAATGTGGTCTCATCTGACCATACAATTTTTTCAAAGAACCGTGGATCTTCCCTGTGTCTTTCTAACATTGTGCGACAAAAAGCAACTCGGGGCTCATTATCCCGGGGCAGAAGAGCTTGAACACGCTGTCCGTGGAGCATGTTTTTTTGCAAGATTCTATGGGCTGTACTTTTGGGCACACCTGTTTTTAGTTCTATTGCACGCACTGAAGTACTCGGGTCTTCTTCGACAGCTCCTAGCACCACATCTTCGTAAGGAAGGAAAGATCTTCCCTCACCATGTGATTGGTTTGGTAGTTGGCCCTCTGAGAACAGTAAGCGGTGCACATTTGTGAACATTCGATGATCTGGATGACGAGCTGCATTCGGGTAACTGTCACAGTGAAGTCTCGCTGTGGCACTAGCGTTGCATCTGCATTCCCCATAAATGAGGTGCATGTTAGCATATTCTTGTACGGTGTACACGGACATAGCGGCACTGCACAATCACACTACCAAAGATAGTCTAGGGAAAGCAAATGTTGTTTTGAAGAGCAATTAAACAGTCCAAATCCAAATCACAAGCGATCAACAGTCCAGTTCACGAATCCAAAATTAGTAACAGTACGAAATCAACAAGCACGAACATGTACAGATGCGCAGTATGGAGTAGTACCCTTCTTCGTACGTATCTTACCTTTGTTTGTTTTGGTTGTTGTTTGGTGCTACTCTAAGTCCATTTTTATGGGGTTTTATCCTCTTCAGCGTGGGAAGGCATTGAGGAAAACCACCATGCGTACTCCTCCAGCTTTGTAGCTGTTTTGTAGCCGGTTGTAGCCGATCTTGCTGGAACCATCCATTTCTCTTGAGAAAAAAAACCCTGAATCAAACTAATTCCAAAGCGTCTTCAACCATTACTGTTGACATTCCATGATCTTTAGACCAAGAAAACTCCAACCAATGCCAAAAATAGTAGGAATAAGACATAATGTAAGACGAGTAAGAGACTGTACTGACCAGTATACGTTACAAAAACTAGTTAGAGGAGGAAACGAAAAAGCAGACAGGAGAAAAGAAAGCCAATAAAAAAATGGATTCAAAATAATAGTTGCAAATAATAAAAGAAATAAAAGAAAATGTAGCGGGCAAAGAAAAAATAAGAAAAATAGAATATATTCTTCTGAAGGGAGGATAAGATAAGACGTTTGCCTTTCTAGTCATTTTGAAAGTATGAAAAAAATGTAGGCTATTGTTTTTTTTAATTCACATCACAAGAAGCGTAAGTCCTTATTTTTTAACACCCGTATATTAGCTTGGTCTGTATACAGGGTGTTTCAGTTTATTGTTGCATAACTTTAAGATTCGATAGAACTTTTAAAATTAATGCATATAAACATGGGTCGAAAAATGCGTGGCTTCCGAAATACAGGGTGTTTAAATTTACTTTCGAAAATAGTTTTTTTTTAAATATTTCGAACAATATTTGATGTATAACAGTGAAAATTGGTATACAAGGGTTTTTTGGTACGACAAAACGAACCATGGGCATAGTTTTACTGTAGTCGCTAGAGGGCGCTCTCTACTGTACCTATAGTGTATTAAATATTTTTCTTAGTGCAATTTTTTGCTTTTTGAATAAAATTCTTCGCACTTTTCAACATAAAAAAGCTCTCTTGTTTACTTTCGTTATAGTTAGCCGTTTTTGAGATATTTCGATTTTTAAGGTTCGATGCATTTTTTATTATTTATGATAAAATAACGTTAAAAAGTCAGTATCTCGATAATTTTTAGAAGTAGGCAATGTCTGCAAATAATTTTGAAATTGAAAGCACAATAAGGTTAAACGTCAATTAGTTGACAGTTAGTTTTGTTGTCTGTTGAAACCTGAAACGTTTTTTAGCAATTGTGAAGGCACGAAATTTAATTTCTTTTCCTGTTTTTTTTTTGTAAGTTTTATAAAAATGCCATTTTTATTCTCCAATCAAGAGTTAGCGGATATTCATTTTGTGTATGGCTTTGTAAATGGACACGCAGCAGAAGCAGCCAGAGAATAGGCACGAAGATTTCCAAACAGACGACATCCAACTCGCTCAGTATTTGTAAGAGTGCATCGCCAAATGATTGAAAATGGTTTTGGAAATCTCCAAAGGGATCAAAACATAAATGTTCGTCAGCGCAGATTTACCCGTATGATTCTGCGTGAGTTTGATAGAGATCCTACCACAAGTGTTAGGAGAGTTTCTGGTGCCTTGGGAATTTCAGCAAGCCATGTTCACCGTGTTCTTAGAAATGACCATAGACGTCCTTACCATTTGCAACCTGTGCAAGGACTACAGCCAGGGGACGGAGAACGAAGTATCACATTTTGTCAGTGGATTCTTGATAGAACTGATAATAATAGGGAGTTTTTAAGTAACGTTTTATGGACCGATGGGTCATGCTTCATTAGACGTGGAGCGGTAAATTTTCATAATCGACATATTTGGTCGTATGAAAATCCGCATGCAGTTCGGGAAAGAAATTTTCAGCATGAATTTAGTGAAAACGTGTGGATTGGTATAGTATCCACCGTAATCGACTATTTGGACTCTAGCTTTTGCCTGCAAGGTTAAATGTTGCGACCTTCTTGAAACTTTTAAAGGCTGAACATGCAAATATGTGGGATGATGTTATGTTAGATTTAAGAAGATTGGCCTGGTTCCAGCTTGACGGTTGTCCAGCTCATTATTCAAGAATAGTTAGAAACTGGCTGGACGAAAATTATCCAGAAAGATGGATCGGCCGTGGAGGACCAGTCGCCTGGCCTCCACGATCCCCTGACCTAAATCCATTGGATTTCTTTGTGTGGGGATTTCTAAAAGAAAAAGTGTACCAGACTCCCGTAACCACAAGAGATATGCTAATAGACAGAATCAGGAATGCATATGATGAAATAAGGCCTTATTTGAATAATGCTATACCACGTTCGATCATTCTTAGATGTGAATGGTGTATTGAACAATTGGGTTTACATTTCGAGCAACTACTTTAGATTTTGTATGTTTGTCCTAACTATCCAATAGCATTTTAGTTGTAAATAATTAATTTAATTTGTTAAAAATAATATTGGAAAATTAATATTCTGTTTTTGTGTTTATTTGGAGTTAGGAATTATTGCTGTGTTTAAAAACACAATCTAAACGATCATCTTACTTGTAATGCCCAAATCGAAAATGTAAAAAAAAATATTATTTTCCCATAAATAATTAAAAATGCATCGAACCTTAAAAATCTAAATATCTCAAAAACGGCCAACTATAAAAGAAAAGTGCGAAGAATCAGTTTTTTTATTCAAAAAGCAAAAAATTACACTAAAAAATTTTTCGGGTATTTTAATACACTAACTATAACGAAAATTCACAAGAGAGCTTTTTTATGTTGAAAGGTTCGAAGAATCAGTTTTTTTATTCAAAAAGCAAAGAATTGCACTAAGAAAGAAGTTTCTGTCATTTTAATACCCTACTGGTACAGTAGAGAGCGCCCTCTAGCGGCTACAGTAAAACTATGCCCATGATTCATTTTGTCGTACCAAAAAACCCTTGTATACCAATTTTCACTGTTATACATCAAATATTGTTCGAAATATTTAAAAAAAACTACTTTAGAAAGTAAATTTAAACTCCCTGTATTTCGGAAGCCACGCATTTTTCGACCCATGTTTATATAGACCTTATGCATTAATTTTAAAAGTTCTATCGAATCCTAAAGTTATGCAACAATAAACTGAAACACCCTGTATATAAAAGAAACATATTCTCATATTAAAAACCGTTCACTGACGTAAACTATTTTCACCTTTAAATCTTATTCCTTATCTATTTTAGGAGTAGAACTAACGTTCAGAAATGTATTAATTTGGATGTGTTACTATTGCACTGATGGGGCTTTGTGTTGGATTTCTGATACACACACATAGGGTTTTTTTGGTATCATCAATCCATGATATTGTTTTTTGTATGTGTCTCTATTTGCTTTTCAACAGTTGAATAGTTTCTCTGTAATTGGATCTTGCATCTGTTGAGAAATATATGAATAAAATAAAATAAAATTTGCGTCCTGGATCAAACGATGAACCCCGGCTGGTGAAATCGGGCCTATATGGCACAATACACAGTTTCTTATCGATCTGATGCTAGAAGAAATAGATCTAGCAGGACAAGGGATACTAGATCAGGCTGGCGAGCAGGCTGTGCGACCTTATTTACGATACGTTCCTTTCTGGTCGAGTAGTCGGCCTGCTCGGGCACGGTGACCACCCAGCAAACGTGAATTTAGCGGCGTTATTAGATTGCCTGTCACTCCGCGGGCGCTCCGCAAAGTTATGCATTCGCAGGACCGTCTTCCACAAGTCACAGGGAACCACGAATACAACTTCTATTGAGCGGCGAGAATAAAAATGTGCTCCTTTGGCACAAATTGGACTAATAAGAAGCAGTCTTTGTAGTAGAGAGATCTAGATAATTTGGTCGACTTCTTGTAAAATGTCTCTCAGACTAGATG